ATATTTCAGAAAAAAAAAGGATAAGGATCTGCTAGGGTGCTTGAGTTAAGATAAGGGAGTCCTCTATCTTTCAGCAGATGCTATACCATAATCAGGTTGGGAAGTAAACCACATCATATTGTGTTAACAAAACCTTTTTGGTGAGATTTTATCACTCCTCAGGCCCCTCAGAAAGGAATTAGGGCAAAAGAAAGAGATCAGAGTTCAGTCCTCAGAGTCCAGAAGTTTATATACCCTCATCTTAGAGGGGAGGAGCTACTGTGCACACATTTTCTCAGGACTTCTTGAGGCCATGTGCATTGAGTAGTCAACACATATTCAGCTCAGAATAAACCTCTTTAAATTATTTCACAGAGTTTGGGGTTTTTTTCATTAACAAAAGAAAAAAATTCAGATAAATGAATTCAGAAAAATGAATATCTAAGTGAAATTAACTCTGCTTGTTTTGAAAACACAGCAGTAAGATTAGCAAGAGGCCAGGAACAGCATAAACAAATGCCAGGAAAGTTACTCTCAGAATTTGTTTACTTAATATTTAACACTGAAATCAAACATAAGAAGGTCATTAGGGAGACCTCCATTTCTCCACTTAAGCAATTAGAATCTGTAAGTAGTATAAAGATAAATTACTTATTTGGTCTTCCCACACAGCAGTTTGTTCATACAGTAAATATGAAAGCACAGCACTGCATTGGCGGTTGTTTTCTATGGGTCTGTCCGTCTAGATTGTAGAAAAATGGAGGGCAAGGACAATTAGAAAGGGCCTGATTAAAGAGTGTCACTTAGCTTGGTGCATAGAGATGTTCAATATGTTTTTGATTGACAGTAAAATTATCTCTTTAGACAATCTGATCTAAAAACCACCCAAATCAATGTGCATAAAATCAAATGAAGCCTGCAGATTTTAGTTTGTCAATTCATGGTAAAAATAGACCTAGTTAAAGCAATTGTCCTATGAATCAAGTCAAAGTGATTCAACTAATGAATGCTTACTACTGGGGTGGGATGCCTAATATTTATAGTAGGCTTTACCATAATGCCCTACCAAGGAAAATTATATACCATGAACTGATGAACAGTTTAAAATAAGACTACTTATTATACTAGTATAGACACACTAACAAGTTCAGGATATTCCACTTCAAAAATAAAGACCCTTCCCCCAAAGTATCTTTAGGTAATTTAATCCTCAGGTTATGATACGGGATCAAATTCTGCCCGAAAACGATTTAAAAACTATGTAAACACATTTATTGTATCCTTGTGGCACATGTTTAGAAATTTTATTTTGTAGCTTTAGCTCCATTAGTGATTTGCACCAATTTGCATAAAGAATTATAATAAGTGAGCTCAAGACACCCGGAGTCCAAGCCTCTTTTACTTAGAAAAAGACCTGTAAACAACTTCTTCAAGGTTAAACAGGGGCGTGTGACAGATTTGAACTTAATCCTGCTCCCCTTTAATACTCATGAGATAAAGTATTTTAAGTATTTAAGTCGCTAGCAAATGAGATAAAAGGAGTCAAGTTATGCATTCTCAATTGTCAATTACTGATTAATCAACAGAATCCTAACTGAATATTAATACAAATAACATATTTCGTTGTGTGACCTAAGAGCATTAAGAAAAAAACAAAGGCAATAAATTTAAATTTGCTTATTCATATTTATGCATGAAGAAAACATTTAATTGGGTCAACAGGAAATGTACCTTCTGGTGAATTTCACTACTACTAATAAAGTCCTCGCAGGTAAAATCTTCTGTCCCTAAAGCCATCATGGTTAGAAATCATTTTTAAAATACTTTACAGGGACATCTTTCTTCTTTCTATAGACGTCTGGTTTGATTATTGTTCATGTATTCATTTTTTTTTTAACTTAACTTCTTCAGTTTTTCTTTGGTTGAAATGACTTTTCCAGAAGAGTAGAACCGGATAGAGCACAGAAAGTAGAGTATATCTGCAGAAAAGTTGGAGAGACAAAGGTGAATGGGGTGAGAGGGACTGAGGCTGGGGAAACGAAGGGGGCTCCTCTGCACCCCTCTCCGCAAAAATGAGCACGACGACCTCAGCAGGGGCGCCGAGCCGCGAGTCTCCCGCAGTCCCTTCCGCGGCTGTCTGGGGAGCCAGGACTGCGCGCTCCGTCGCCTGTCATCCCGGGCCCGCGCCGGGCTGCGATTGGACGCGCCGCCGCCAAGCACCCGCCAGAAACACAAACGCGCCGGGGAGAGGGGGGAGTGTTCTTGCGAGTCGAGGGCTTTGGCTTTTTTACGTCTCCCCCCTCCCCTCCGCACTCCATGCCGGGTCTCTCGCTCCTGCTCGCTTCGGCTCGCTCGCGCGGCGGTAGAGTTGGCACAAACCTCGCCGCAGCCGCAGCCGCCGCCTCGCGCGGGCTCCCGCCGGTGCCTCTGCTCTTGCCCCTGCGCCCTCGGCTCCCGCCATGGGGCCAGCTTGGGGCTCCTAAGAGTTGTGGGCTCTCAGCAGCGCGATCTCCGGCCAAAGTCACCACGGGCGGGTTATGGCTTAGGGCGCAAGAGGGGTCAGCCTAGAGGTAACGGGAAGGGGAAAGGGAGGCTAACTCAGCAACAAGAGGAAACGAGAAGAAAAGCCAAACGATGAGTTTCCACAAGGAGGACGGAGTGAGCAGCCTGTGCCAGAAGGCGCTGCACATCGTCACCGAGCTGTGCTTCGCGGGCCAGGTGGAGTGGGAGAAGTGCTCGGGCATCTTCCCCCCGAAAGGGGGCAGCCAGGGCGGAAGCAGCACAGGTAACGGGGGAGGGCTCCGCTCGCGTCCGCGCGCTCCACCAGGACCTGGCGCGGCAGCTCCAAGCTCCCCGGTCCTGCGCTTCCCGCGCCGCGCCCGGGGCATCCTTGGGGCTCCGGGTCTTCCTACCTCGCTCCTTCTTTCGCTCAGCTCCGGGCCACTTCCAGCGTGGGGCATTTGGGTTTGGTTTCCTCCTGTCCACCTGCCCCGCTTCTCCCACTTTCTGGTGTGCTTGCTGCCTGCCGGCGCCGTCTCCCGCTCCCTGGCTCACGCCGTGTCTCCGCGCTCTCCCACGCCTCCCGTCTCCCTACCGGAGTAGAGCAGCGAGCGCGGGCGGCTGCGCTGGGATCGCTCGCGACGCGGCTGCTCGCGGGGGCGGCTCGCCTGCGGGACTCGGGCTGTCCGCTCTGGTACCGCGTGTTGCGGGTCTCGGGTCGCGGGCTTGGCGAAGGGGCCAGGCGGGAGGACCTGTGCTTGGACGCAAAGAAACCCCTTGCAGATGGGGCTGCCATGGCCTCGAAAGCAGAAAATATCCCAGCAAGGGTAACCCGTGGCTGCAGCCTGTCGAGCACTTGACAGTTTCCATTAAAACCCTTTAATATATGATTTTCTAGGGCTTCGTGACAACGTTAGCAAGACAGCAGGGATTATTGATTCCATTTTTGAGGCAGTGCTTAACGCTCAGGGCGCACATGTCAAGGAAGTGGAAGATATGGAAAAGGTTAAAAATCCACTGCGCACATACACTCTCACACAGCCCCCAACTCACGGGCGTTCTCCCTACCCTTCCGGAAACTTGCAAGGGAATGGCGTGGGATGGAGGGGGACATGGACCGTCAGAAATCTGGAGATGGAAAGAAGTCTCGGGTGACAGCTTCTCCAAAAGGCTTGGGGATGGGAAGGAGGGAATCAGAGCCACCGTTTTGGTCACAGTCTGGAAAAAGGGTTTTTACCACCCGCGCAAAGGTTGGCTTGTCCAGCCTGCTGCGCTCCTCACACCCGAGAGACGGACCCTGTGAAGACCACTTGTTGCGTTGGGAAACAAACGCTGGTTTCGGAATTTTCCGCATTTAACTAGAAGTTACCATTCCTTCTTTAGGGTCTTATTTCTTTCCCTTTGCTTTCCCCATCGTCTTGGTCTCCTAGTAGGATTTTGAGGGTTGAGGGTAGCCAGGGCAACAAGCAAAAGCTGAACAGACTAGCTCAGGGCGGAGCAGGACAGTGGAGAGCCCTGCGTGCTGGGAAGGAGCAAAGAGGGGCACACACAGTGAATCCCCCACCCTCACCACCCCCGAGTCCAAGACAGGGGAGGGGGCGATGGGGTGGGAATGGATTTAGTTTAGCTTTTACATTCCATTATTTACATGGCATAGCTGTAGACTTTGGGAATTCTCTGATCCGTAGCAACAGGAGCCAAAAGGGGCTTCTGTCTGCGCTTGGCCAAACTTGAGGAGATGCTGCTCCTTGGGCCCTGGTGCAGAAAACTTGGATGTTCTGTGAATGTATGTACACAACTCAGAGTCTTTTTCATTTGTTCAGTAGGTGTTAAATTCCTAGGAATGTATAAAACTCAATTATCAGCGGAAGAGACTGGGCGGACGTCTTGTATATGTGTGACATGTGTGTGGTTGCTAAGCATGAGGTAAAGACCAAAATAGTGTGACCTTAGAGTCCTCTGTAGTGACACCTTTGGTGACACACACGCTCAGACAAGGGGGGGCTACAATGGAGGAAATGAGAGTGTTTAGGTTTAGTGTTTTGGTCATCCAACAGTTGATGCTGTGAATAAAACCGATTCCTCCCACCTCTGGCCCCTTTGTGATCACACCAAATAGTGGTTTTCTGGGTCTCAGGATGGCTGGCAGTGAGGAAAACGTGTGAGGGTTGGAAACCAGATACCAGCTTCTAAATCTTTCTAAAACGCACAACTATATCAGCTTAAGGTAAAATACAGTATATGAATTGTAGAAAGAGTTCTGAGCTTATCCTAAGCGTTACAAGAAGTAGTTGTAGTCCTAATTCCTTTTGGATTTTCCCGTGGTTAGAAAAAGTTGGGAAAAACTAGTCTAAAATAATTGCAAGAATATTTTTCTCCCCATAAAGGAAAATACATACTATTCAAGTAAGGTATTCAATTTAATATATGGACATAAATATTGAATGGATATCAGTAGGGAAGATACTCCACTAGGTTGTATATGAGATGTAAAGATGAACAAGATCGCTTTACATTTTCCATTTGCAAATCTATGCAACAGAAGTAAAATGATTTAATCTGCAAATAGAATAGACTCCCAATATTAATAGATTTCTATGAAGTGGATCCAAAGATCATTTACTAAATATTTAATAATTAGTACCCAGCTTCACATTGTTCTTTAAAGTAGATTTTCTTATAACTCATGCAGTTTTGCCCTTTATCATAAGTGCCTAAATAAAATTACTTCCAGTGACCCTCTACTCATTGTTTAATGAGAAGTGCATTATTGGTAGGAGGACATCAGTGGTGTTGAATGGTACAGTGGTTATTTCATTTGTAAGTTAATCAGCACTGCCCAGATGGCATTGGTTATTCTAACATTACAGTGTCAATTGCAAGCTTCAAAATTGTGTTTACTTTTAATTCCTCCACACAGAGATAGAGTGAGAGAAATTCAGGTAATCCCGGTTAAAATCATTCTACATTAAGGGAGTTACAAATCACATATACAAGTAGGGTATCATCCTGTTGGTTTTTTAAGTGCCAATAAGGTGCAAACATCACCATCCCTTTTACCAAAACAGCACTAGCAAAAGCTACATTGAGGATCCCCCGATCAAGTTGACCAATTTCATATTTTAGTAAAATTTGGGAAGACTTTACGCTGCAGCTGCCAACACTAGTTAATTTATTCTTCTGAAATAATTTATTAGAGCCATTATATGTATCCACATTAATAGTATACTAGAAAGTTCATCATGTACAATTTTTAGAAAATCAGATTTTTGGAGTCTTTTTATCACTGATTCTCCTCCTCCCCCAAAATAGATAATGTTACCCACTAAATTCATTTTAATGCATTGATATGATTTAATAGTAGAATGCTTATGGAAAATACAAAGCAATATATTGGGCTCAAATGTTACTTTTCAGGTATATTGTAACTGAATATACATAATAGTTTCTGAACTGGATTCTGGTTAATTTCTGGTCAGTCTTGAATTGCTGCCCAAATTCTTATTAGGTTCAAGGAACTTACGTTGCTTGAAAGGCAGGCCTCATAAATCATAGCTAATCAAACCCACTTAAGCTCACACTCACTTAAGCTCACAAATGTATAGACTTAATTTAAATATTTCCATAAGCATTTAATTAATCACTATTTTAATTATTATAATAGTAATATTATATAAGTAGTGTAAATATGTTAACTTCAATGATGACTCCAGATTTTAATCTTAGGCAGTTACCTCTGCTTTCTTTGAACAAGAGCTACTGATTTGAGTTTTATTCCGCCTCTTTGTCTGCAGAATGGTACCATAAACAGAAGCAAGGACTGTGGTCAGACAACAGGGAGCAACCAAAGAAACAAAAGGCTTGGAATATCCATGAACTAAATTATAATTTCTGATTAATTATGAGAAATACTATTTTTGTACATTTTGAAAAATTAAAGATGAACTAAAATTTTAAATATTAAAAAAGGAAAATGATACCAGTAGACACAGATAAGAGTATCAACCAAAGCAGTAGTGATTGGAATTGAGAACAGGAGAGCTGGTCTATGCTTTTCTGCATGATCATAGCCACTTGGGAGCTAACGGTATTCATAAGCCACAGTGAAAAGGTCATGCAAATGTTATGATCTGGTTAGCAAAGTTCTGCTTTACTCAGAGTTTCTGAGGAATTAGCATTTTGAGGGTTACTTTGTTTTCTGATAAGTGATCTGTTGTCAGTTTTTCAGAACTATGTCCCTTCATTTTGAGATAGTAAGACATTATAAAAGAGTAAAATCTTTATAGCTAAAATGAGTGAGAGATATACAGTCAGACAGACAGACAGATAAGCAGATAGTAGTAGAACCAAGTTTATGCATATGTATAAAATCAAACCAGAGTTTGAACAGTTTTAAACCTAATTATCTGAGAGCCTAATCTAATTTCTGTAAATTTCATTAACTCTTAATATCACCAGATATAATAAGATGAATGTCATATAATGGGTTCTTTTTTATTTTCTAGAGACATTGAAAATTAGAGCTGGAGACATCCTAGTCATCAAGTTTGCCCATTGTACTGGATAACCTAAAAGTCCATGTGGAAAAGTCAGGCCATTCATACTCATCACCCTGGCTCCCAGTGGTTGGCCCCTTTCTTCCAGTGATCTTTTCTAATCCACCTTACCTCTTTTCTTTTAGGATCACACCCAAGCACTTGTCATTATGGTGAAAAATGCCATCTTAAAACTATACATTGAAATAATCTAATTCATCTTTCTCATTTGGAAATCTAATCCACTAACTTTTTTACTTATCTCTGAATCCCTGCCAGTAAATATGGTATCATACTTACCATGCATCATTTCATCATTGTAATCACTTTCTCCTTTGGGATTTATCACATTCCTCCTAGAAAAATAAACAAATAAATAAACAAAAAACCTTATTCATTGATAAATTCATCTCTCTATCCCCACACCAAAGCAACTGAATATTTAGGAGATTTTCAAACCAGGCAGGCTAGTATCACTCTGTCTCCAATTTCAAAAGAACTCTAAATTCTGACCAGGCATCCTGTGTTTTTCTATTCAACTTTCTCCTTTTCTCTATAGTTCCTGTTCCAAACTTTCCTCACCTCTCTTTAAATTCCCAAACTATTGCCAAACTATTCCCAAACATCCCAAAATACTTGACAGTTGACAGTTGGCCCTAACTCCTCCTTTGGAGAGAAAAATACTAGGTATATAAAAGAATTTCCCTGACTTCCTGCCTGAAGACCTATAAATTTACTGGCATCCAGAACA